AGAGTGATTAAGCCTATTGAAGAAACAACAAGCTGATAATGGAATTGTTGATTTTGACTCTAAGGAGTTCACCAAATACATCAAATTCAAGTGCAAGCAATATGACTATAAGGATATCAATGATAATAAGCTAGCCAAGGTCTTTATAATGACTTTAGTATATTCATAAGTAGGCAATTCGCGAAGATCCATTAGTTGGATATACAAAAGCTATATATAATATTATATACCCGAGGGATATGAATACCGAAATTAGATATTAAAGCATCTACAGCTTTATATGATTAATCATATAGATTTATTACAGATACATGGACAAAAAACCAAATTCAGGAAGTTCTGAAAGATTGTAATCTTAAAAAACCTAAGTTTAGATCCAGAACAATCAACAGATTTATTAATAACAACTTTGAATATAATGAAGATAATCGAAAAAATAATAAGAAGGGTAATGAAAAAGGAGATTCTGATAATAATAATGATAGTAATGATAATAGGAAGAACAATAGAGGTCGATGCGATAGGGATAAGAAATTATCAATACATTCTAATATACAATCTCTTATTAATTTGTCGAAATTCTACACCAATAAGGAGAAATATAACAGGGATAACAATAATTTCGATTTCAAATTCTCGATATTCTATGAAATCTTATAATATGCAGAGATGCCTATGGATATGCAATATAAGGCATTCCCAATCATATTAAAGGACAGCGTGTTTGAGTTCTTTTATGCCAATTACGAAGCATTACCACCTATATTCAGAGAGCTTTATACTTATATGTAGAGTAACTTTGAGGGAGAAGAGTATCAATATAATATACTATCTAAATGAAATAATATTACTCTCAAATCAATTAAAAAGAAGTATAAAAACAAGCCATTTAGTAAGTATCTTACCATTATGATCAAATAGCTACATATACTACAGCATCAACTTAATCCTATTATACAGCAAATGTCATATCTACACAATAAGCTTATACTAGTATGTAAAGATGTTGAGGTATATAACCTAGCTTATTTCAACCCTAAAAAGGAGGTGTCTGGTTTAATTAATCAATTGTGATAATCCATTAATATATGGGAGAGATTGTATAAAGAAGAAGATACAGTGCTATTCATTAACAGAAGATTCCGTAATAATAATAATCGGAATAGTTCAGGTGGTTCTAGAGGTTTTAAAAGTGGTAATTTCAGAAGCAACAGTTTTAAGAGCAATACTAATAGGTTTCGACAACAATCTAATTCTTTGAATCAACGAAATCGTTGTTGGATATACAAGAAAGAGGGATATCGATCAACAAAGTATTCCCAAAAGAAACAGGATAAAAACCAATATGAATATCGGGAAAAGATCAAGAATGATAGTACAATGTGTTTAATAAGCACTACGATTAATGATTAATCAAATACAAAAAGAAGCTACTAATGCAGAATCTGATTCAGAAATCGAAATGGGATAGTTCTTTATAGATCTTGATATTGATAATACTGAAAAAGAAGTATTTTTTGTTAATTCAGAATCTGTAAATAGCCAAGAGATATTCAATTAATTATTAATCAATACGATATTGCATACATTGATTAGAGACTCTGTTGAAGCTACTCTACCAACAGAAAGTGCGATAAACGTTTTTACACAAATTACACAAACAAGGAATTCTTCGGTATATGTATCGATACAGTTTGTGCAGGTAAATCTATAGTTGGAATTGGATAATATTATGTATAGCAACAGGTATACCCAGTAACATATAATCCATAAACAGCGGAAGCAGTGAATATACGCTTTGGGAAAAGGATTGTGATATCAATAGGTTTATTTCGTATCGATACACCATTTGAATACATTGTTTTTTCACATTGTAAATACCGATATTCCATTTTTATTAGGACTTAAGGATATAAACCAGCTTAAAACATTCTACAACAATATCATCAACAAATTCATCAATCCAACCGGTCAATATTCTGTCATTAGGAGACACGGGCATGCATTTTTGATATAAAAGGTAAATATGGATCAGCTCATTCAAGAGTTTATTCACCAGAATGATTGCTATTTAATAAACTACTGAACTATAATATTTACATCAACAATTCGGCTATCCATTTGCACAATGCTTTTTATAGTGTACTACAACACACAGGCTACAATGAGAGCAATGATACTATAAAATATCTCACCAAATACTACAAGCATTATTAATGCATAGCAAGTCACCCAAATGTTTTAGGTTCACTCTACTAGAGGATACTGAATTTAACTATGTTATATATATCAATATCATATACATTGCAGGCAAACCAATTCTGTATATTGTTGATGAGGCAATACGCTATCAAGCAGCTCGATTCCTTGAAAACATTTCAGCTAAGTATATATTCGATACTCTTCAAGAATGCTGGATTGATGCATATATGGAACCATCAGATTATATTATTCATAATGCAAAAAAGAATTTTATAAATAAAGAGTTTATCCAAAATACAAAATCTATATCAATCACCATCAAAAGCATACCAGTTAAAGCACACAACTCTATAGGTATAGTAAAAAGATATTATTATTCCTTATGCTATGCATACAAGATCTTGACTAAAGAGCTTGAAGATGACAATTTGATGAAAATAATAATCCTACAAATAATAGTGAAAGTTGTGAATGATACAAGCCGGACTGAATAAACTTGTTCCCACACTACTAGTTTATAGGATATATCCTAGATTGAGTAATATTAATCCCATCACCCCAATAATTATTTAATACATAAAAGCTATGAAGAAAGCTATAGCAGAAGTATGTTATATACAAGCTAAGAGATAGGTTACAGAAGCGCTTAGACTGAGGAATGGACTATCCATGACATCAGTTCTTATTCTATCACTTAATTTATAAGTTTTAGTATGGAGAGAAGGAAAAGGTGGTAATATATTAGGTAAATGGATTGGATTATATATTCTGATTGGAACGGATAGGGAAATATATGAAGTGGAACTTATTAGTGACCAACTAAATTCGATCTACATCTATACAACCTTTTTATAAAGAGCCTGAAGAAATCGAATTGACTAATAATAATGATATAAATGGTGATGATAATGGTAACACTATAGTAGTTTGATATATTACAAATAAAGATACCACGACCGCAAATACCACCACCACAGTACAACCAGATATGCAATTATATCGTCGCATAAGAAGCAACTTGATTATATGATCAATTTGACGGATATCGACATTAAGCTATCATTACTGCAATTAATTATATTCTTGCAAGATAATACACCTACACGATATAAGGAATTACGATGGAAGGAAGTTGATGGACTAATAGAAAATAGAGTTTTAAAATCATTTCAAAAACTAGTATAACCATTTGGAACACGATTATTTAAATTACGATTTATTAACGAAATAAAAGAAAAAGGTATTGATAAATATATGCGAAATCATGACTAGTGTTTAGGTATATCAAGATATAGGTAAAAACCATTGTTTTGATGTAATCACCAATTATTCAATATGTTAGCCAGTGTATTATACTTACACTTGCTGCTATTTGGTAAGTGTTAAACAAGTATATTCAGATTTATTTATGGGACATCACATAGGCATACATCTAATCATTATGATTTTGAATAGACCTATTTATATGGAAGCATTAGAAGAGGTTGGACTTGATTTTGGATATGTGTTATATGTTATAAAGCCCTTATATGATTGTACCAGAAGCAGAAATCACTAGTTTGGAACCTACCATAATCACTATAGGGATAGGCTAAATATGATATAATCTATATACGATCCCTGTTTACTTTACTTCAATGATGGTATTGGCATTGTAGAAACTATAAACTGATGATACTCTTATAATTGCAGACAAAAGATTTGCATAATTAGAATAAGAGCAGTTGAAGAAAGCCGGATTATAGCTAAAAACAGAGAGCAACTCACCAAAAATTATTCACTTAAGGTTAATAGTGGTTTAATTACTTTTAAGGATAATAGAATCTATTTGAATTAGGAGAAACAATGCGATAATCTCTGAATGGTTATGCTGGGGAGTGTTGATATACGGGGAATGAGGGGAAAGATTCGAAAGAATGTTACTTCGAAGAAACCAATATATCGCTCAACGCGCGAGAAGTGCGTATATCAAACAGTATATCAACCAAAGGCATCATACCATCTTTCAGTTACTGCCCAGATAATAGATCCGAAGGAAGAAGATGCTATTAAGTTTAATAAGGTTATTAAATGGCAGATAGATAATCCAAGAAGAGAATTAACCTTTATATCTCTCGATATAGATTCTATCGAATTAGTTGTCTTTAACCGATACATCCTTTGCTAACAATACTAATCTATTATCGCAAATCGGCTATATTATATGCCTCGTAGACAAGTATAGCAATACTAATATTATCCACTGGACATCAATCAAATACAAGAGAATCACTAGGAGCATACTAGCTTCTGAGCTATATGCACTAGTTCTAGGTTTTGATATCGGAGCTGCTATTAAGGGTACTATCAATACTATTCTCAAATCTAAAAAGCGAATACCACTCATGCTTTATACGGATTCTAAGTCACTATATAACCTATTAACTAAGCTCGATACAAGCACGGAAAAACGACTCCTGATCGACATTATGGCTCTACAACAATGCTACGAAATAGAAAGATCACAAAGATTAAATAAATTAACGGGAAATTGAATCCTGCGGACGCCATAACTAAAAACGGTGCATGTTAAGCTTTAAAAGACTTGATTGATACTAATAAAATAGTCATTAAAGTAATGCATTGGGTGGAAAGAGAATAGTAAAAGGGGAGCTAAGGGAGTAGGAGTAGAACACTATGCTTAAGATTGAATAATGAGCTTAGGCTTAAAGCACATGATCCATTCAACTTAAGAGTTGCCAGTATCGGGATATCGATCATGTGATCTAAGAGGGCACTGTATTGCACTAGCGTATGTACTAGCGTATGCACTAGCGCTAGCACTTCTACTATATCAAGTACTAGCTTCCCATAGTTAATAATGATCAAGACGAATAATACAATCAATCATATTGATAAGAATGAAGTACTTTACACTTTAATCAACACCAAATTGATACCAACACAATGATTAACCACCAGTTATCGTTAAACTCGAGAATAGGACCGACAGCTATCCAGACAATCGTTACGATCAAAGTGATCAATAGCCCAACGCCCGAGCCCATGACATCAGCAAAGATATCGATAGATCTATCAATCCGACTAATGGTTGGGGCAGGGATCTCAAATATTGGGTTACGTTGGTAATCGTTTGTAATTTCCCTCAATCGCCACTCAATCTCGGAATCGACTCTTAAAGCATACTCAAGACACTGCTCAAGATTATCCTCTTGCTGCTGCTGTATATTTTGCAAGAAGATGGAAGTAAATGTCAAGGCAACTGCAGTAGCTGTATTAACATATAATTGCCAAGTGTCGCTGAATTGAAATAGAGGACCAATGCCAACCCAAAAGAATATACCAATCCAGTAGAGGATATATGCCCAGATGGAACCAAGGCCTTTAGCAACGATTTTGCAAGTGCTGTTCCACATATAGCGTGCTTTTGATATATCTCCACCACCACTTGTGAGTAGGATATCATCGGCGTTGGATTCAACAGGTTTATCATCTTTGAGCAATTTCTGAGCAGGGTTCTTGTGGGTTTCCACCCACTGGCAGCTAGGTAATTGTCGGAGAAGGCGCTCAGAAGTTTGATTGCGGGACTGGAGTTCGGCGAGAGTGGTTAGAAGAGAGTTTGAGGCGTTGGAAGCTTGTCTGAGGAGCAGAATGTCTGTTAAGTAGAGTTGAATTGAAGAGGCATTTTGCATGACGATTTGCCAGGTATCAGTCGTGCCATTAATGAAACCAAATATGACCCAAACAAGCATGATAGCCATCATCGCAACAAATACCCAATTTGAACCAGCAGCTTTCGTGACAATGTCCAACATATTCCTTTTCGGCTTAGAAGTGACATCTTTAGTTGTGATTAAGATTGGCTCTCTCTTGCCATTCGATGAAGGTTGTCCAGGGGCCTTTTTTGGTGTAGGATGGGAAGTTTGAGAAATAGCTGCGGCTCGAATTGATTGCTTCGTGGGTGAAATGAAGTTCTTGAACTTATGCCAAGTTGACGGGAAAGTCATTTCCACTATAGTATATCTGCTAGAGCAACAACAAGTTTCATAAAATATACTATAATTAACAAGTAAGGTGACATAAAAAAAGAGGTCGAAGCCAGCTTGGAAAAGGACAAGAAATCATAATCGGCCAAGATTCACAAGACTTATATCAGATATTTTGCACCAGGATAGGGCATACTTGATGTATGGAGTCACTAAGCTCCATCTCATACTATCTGCGTCTCCTCCAGAAATCTGGGGATAGCGATGAAAATAGTCGGTGTACTGCCCAAATCCCTTGAAATACATGTCAGTTTTGCTCTGATATTCGACATTCAAAACACTAGTGTTGTGAGAATCATTTGCAGTATCAATTGCTAGTTGCATATGATGCGATGAGGGGGTCTGAATGGTGTCAAAAATTTGACAGCAAAAGGAACAGAAACGCCAGTATTTCGAATGCCCAGATTTGAAGCAGTTTATGAGTCGGGATGAGTGATGAAACAAAATGAAAAGATGGGCCCCACTTCAGAGAGGAAAAACATGTGGCCATGACTTGGGGGAAACAAGTAATGCGGCAACAAAACGCCAAGAATTAGCTTGGGTGATCCCGTCTCAGACCTAAAATCCAATCAACAGCCATGAATATTACACAGGGCTGAAGTTGTATGAACTACATTGTAAGCGTCACTGCTGCGGGTGGCTTGGCGTTCCCGCCCTTTCAACATCTGCGCATCGACTGCCGCAGAAATGTTGTATGGATAGATATATCCGGGGTACTGCGCTGCTGAAAATGATCCACAATAGTTTTATATTGCATTACTAGAACCAGCGAGGCTAAGGAAACTGAATGCATAATCAATAACTGACTTCGAAGGAAGATCTATTTCGCAAGAATGAAGGATCGACACGCACTGGAAATGATCATCCAGAATCCATTAACCGCCTGTTCAGGGACATGGGCTTTTGAATGCTTGAACTATTCTGGGGATGTCAACAAAGTGCCATTGCAGTGATACGTTAACATGACAGCAGCAGCTTCAGTTGCTAAAAAGATCTGTCAATATAAAACAGTACTCAATGAGAACACTTGTTGCGACTCCAAATTTCTAAAATGTGGCCTTTTCGCAAAAGATGGGTACATCTGGTGTCAAGGTTAAGGGGCTAACTCAATTGCAATGCCACAACTTGCCGCACTTGCCGCACATATTGAACGTGCAGCCATGATTTTGTGCATCTCACAAGTTGTGTTAAAGTAGTTAATTGATTTTTGTGTGTTAATTCACGGATCGACATTGAAAGAAAAACATGCTCAATGCAAATGATGTGATAGCATGGCAAACGCCATCTTGGACCTTGAGTACCCAGCAATCTTCGTCACTAGCCCCGCGATAAAAACATTCAAAGAAATCGTTCGAATGCCGTGAAGTGGATCTATAGAAAACAAATGATTGCCGATACTGGTTGTATATATGCGATGCCAGTATGTTCCAAGAAGCAAAAACCACGGATCATGAGATGAGTCTGCCAATATATTGAGGGTGACAGTGCAAGCAGAATACGAATATTAGATGAGCAATTCAAGAATTCACTGAAATCTTAGAGATTCCATCATCTCTAGAGCAGAGCCTCGAGTCATATATCTAGCCAAGGACATTCTGGTTGTGCTTTGAACCTCACTCGAAACAAAGGCATGCTGTTGGATGCCGCGGGACCTGTTGCGGAGCGGCACTTGCTAAACTCAAACATCGGTAGAGACAGCATTGGATTTTGTCAAGTTTAGTCACGCTCCACCAAGATTTCTCCAGTGTCCTGCAGTCCTACCGGCATTTTTGTACGCTCAGACCTGGGCATCGCATCAGTTGGGTTTAGCATGACGATGGTGGTATTTCGAAACACGAACTAACAATGAATATAGAAGATCGGATGGAGACACAAAGTATCTAGCTATATGCCGCAAACATTTCCGGAACGAGAACAGTATTGGTGCAACTCTTGCCGAACGTATTTAGGAAGAAACCTTGTCTTGATGAGAAAGCACTTGAAGTCGGACTTGTACAGCCGTGCTTACATAAGCACAGTGCTAGCCTGATATGGTATGGTACGATGCGAGCGAATAATCCGCTCACAAGCAAAATCCAATGCCCAATAAAAACCTGGTAGCAGCATCGACATGCAGGATTTCCAAGTACTGGAGTCTTGCCGTTGTACAGCAATCATCTTCCTGATTCTCAACATCTTCAATCACGGTATCACAATGTTTTCGGATATTGAGATTCTTAGGGTTTTCAAGAGATTTCCTGATAGATATTCATCCTCCCGCCGATGTATCGGGGAAATGAGTCTCTTGGGCCATACAGCATTATAGACATTTCGATACATGAGGCTCCGAGATCAAGGTAGACAAACTTCAATACTTCACTCGATATCACGACTTTCGATTGGTGGTAAATTGATTTTACCCATTCCTGGCGAATTAGCATCTCTCGTGCGTTTTCTTCACTACAAACAAGTGTCTGTAGGTCGCACAAACTTTGATATTTGCTCACCTTACATGCATGCAGTCTTATGGCTTACAAGACCGCATCGCAATCTCAGCTTTTGATCTCTTTCCTGAATTGTCTCATACATTGAGCCAAAAGGTGATTAAAGAAGATTTTCTCATCTACAATATCCCGAACCATGAGGGAAGTTATTGTCCATCCCAGTCCTGAAATCTTGACTGAGATCACTGAAGTAGAAATTCCACAGCCTGGGCCCGACGATGTAGTGATCAAAGTTATCGTTGCGGGGAGTAATTTCAAAGGTAAGCACACTTTTTCAACGTGCGCTCGAAAAGTAGCAGCTCAGACAGATATCTACTTTTTAGATTGGCTCCATCTCAAGGCATTGGAGAAATCACTCAACAGTGGAGATGAAATCGCTGGCGTTGTTCATTCCATTGGTACGAATGTGCAAACAAAGAACGAATATTATCTCGGAGACCGTGTTGCTGCCTTTCATCCGATGATGGAACCACATGGAGCTTACGCCGAATATGCTGTTGCGTCGATTCATACTGTAATGAAACTTCCAGACGCAATAACCTTTGAAGGTCGGTACCGAATCGGCGACTGATGTCAGTTTCTGATTGTTTGTTAGAAGCTGCGACCATTCCGCTAGTTGCTACGACAGCGGCACTTTCTCTATTTCGCCGTCAGCATCTGCCGCCTCCATGGTCACCAAGGGCTGATAGTGTGCCTCTTCCGCTCATCATCTATGGTGCATCTTCTTCTCTTGGTACATTTGCAATCAAATTAGCTCGTGCCTCGAACATCCACCCAATTATTGCTATCGCAGGAAGCAGCTCTTGGCATTTGCATTCTCTTCTTGATCCATCTTCTGGTGACAAGCTAATCGATTATCGCTTGGGCACTGAACAAATTATCAAAGCCACTAAAGTGGCCTTAGGAAGTTTGGAGTGTCACCATGCTCTTGATGCCATCAGCTCAAATGGCACATGGATCCCGATCTCCCATATGTTAACTCCGTCATTTTCGTCGTAGTCGCCATCTTACTTATCAGTCGTCACAGGCTCTAATAAGTACGATGAAGAATCGATTCAGTCGGGAATTGAAGTAGTATACACCATGGTAGGCACAGCAGATGCGGGCGTCTATAAACCAGACGTGGTTAAACAACCATCTGATAAAGAATTTGTGAAGGGTGATCCAGAGTGGGTGGCTGTGTTCTTTAAATACATGACTCAGGTGTTGGCAGATGGTAGATTTACTGGAATCCCCTTTGATGTGATTGGTGGAGGTTTGACAGGAGCTGGAGAGGGCCTGAGACGTTTACAGAGAGGATAGGCTAAGGGAGTCAAATATGTCTACAAGATCGGAGAATTTGAGTGGGAACATTTTGGGGTACCATTCTGACTGGTCAGTGACCGATTGTGCTCACGATCCAGCAGAAACAATTTAGTTACTATCTTATCAGAACGCATACTTGGTTTTGAATTGGAAATCTGAAAGGCTTAAGTCTTGAGAAACAGGTATAAATTTCAGAGGATGCAAGGTATATTTTTCACTCTAACTATCAGTCTAGACCCATTACTTACCGAGTTTGCAGCTTTTAATTCGGCATTTAAAAGCTTGTGTCAATCTCTGATGCTGATCGATCAATTATCGCCATTTGAGAATCAACCACCAGTGGGTGCACGGACTCTCGGGACAGCGTGACAGGAAAGCACAGTTTCATACCAAAACGAGTGATTTTAATAATTCAATTAAAATTCAATATATTATTGAATTCTTTTAAAATTGATATATATAATTCTTCAAGCATTAAAGAATAATTTGTTTAAGAATGATCGAAATAAAACGCAATTTAAGCTCAAAATACAAATAGTACACTTTCCCACCAAAACTTTTGATAGGGAATTATATATTCTTTTATAAAAATATCAATGTTGATTTTTTCGATTCAATCTTAAATCAGTATAGAATCTTTATACTTTAAATCTATATATTTGATTTTCAAATAAATTCATCGAAATTTTGAATTTTAATTGAATTATTAAAATCGCTGTTTTTGGTATGAAATTGTGCTTTCCCTCTTGAGTGTCCCGTGAGTCCGTGCACCCACTGGTGAACCCACTTCATTATCGACAAATTCATCATTTTGCATTCTTCCATTCTTTACTCATTTAATTTGCTAGCCTATCAGCCAATTGTACTCAAACAAATTCCGATCAAACCCCATCGTTTTCGGACATACCGGTAGGTCTCGGCATTGTCTCCATTTAAATTTCTTTATTTGGCTCATTATCAAAGTCATGACGTCGCAAAAATTCCCACCCTATGGCTCCTTCAGTCCTATTTGTGATATAACCAAGTGACATTCATCCTAATATCTTGATTACAATGCATAGTTCGTGCATAATCTTCTGGTTGCACAATGGCCTGGGCGAAGAGGGGTAAATACTTTATTATCCGTACTTTCTTATCACCTCCCTTCCTAAATTCTCGTCCACGTTTTCAAAGTAAAATATTGAGTGCAAGATATTCAATTGATTTTGAGAACTTTTGAACGCAATGACAGAATCTCAATCGAACATCCATCATGCAAATAGCATGAATGGTCCAACCGGTAGAAGTGATGCTAGACATCCAAGTATACTGCATCCAGATCTCGAGATACGTTCCAGTGATGAATTGCCAGATCCAAGTGAATTGGAATTGGAGGAAGAGTTAGATGGTTGGCACGGATACATCGAATGGGAAAAATATCCTGAGCGAAAGCAGAAAGTAAAAGAATTCATGAAGAAATATAAGTTTCCCTCGGTATGGAACCAGTCCAAGTTTTAAACGAGACTCAAAGGCTGATCGATTTGTTGTTCAGGGCGCCCGAATTTCAATTAGTTTCCCTTACCAAAACCAATCCAGTACTAGAAGGTTTAAGATGGAAACAGTATCATTATGCATTGGGCAAAAAGACGAAAGATATGCCAGCAGAGAGTTGGCTGTTTGTTGAGAAGGAAAAGTCTCCAGACATGATTCAATGTCTTTTACAATTCCCATACAACGGAGAACCCCCTCGAGGTATGTCCATTCCACTTCTTTGAGTCTGGGATAGCAAGAATAACAAATTTGAACAGAGTCGACTAGTTGAATCGGCCATAACTTCTAATGAGGATCATTTTGTTCGAAATCATGGTGGAATTCCTGAGATCGACGAAGATTCTTACTTCTTCGATGTTGCTGGTTTGGTCAATAATCCGAAACGTATTACTTTAAAGGATTTAAAGGATGAAACCATCTTCCCGAGACAGAGTAACGTGGTCACGATTCAATGTTCAGGGACCAGGAGAATTGAGCAAATCAATGAGTATCCTGGCGACGGAGATGAACTTATCAATGCACCCGTACGTAACAACTCCTCTCTCTTGTATAACGGTATACTGACATAAGCAAGTGGGGAGAAGGAGCCATTGGAACCGCACGATGGACCGGTGTATCTCTCAAGAAAGTGATCAAATACTGCGGCGGTCTCAAAGACCCATCAGGAACTTATCATCTTGAATTTCTCGGCGCAGACACCTACTTCAAAAAGGGAGAAGTATACAACTACGCTGTATCCGTTCCCTGGCGCAAGGTGAAAATTAATGAGGTACTGCTGGCCTGGGAAATGAATGGGGAGCCACTCCCTAAGATCCATGGCTTTCCATTACGTGCTGTGGTATTTGGCTATATCGGCGCTCGCTCATGTAAATGGCTTACCAGGATTAACGTTCTACCCCATGAATCTCTTGGCCCGGTGCAGAAGAAAGAATACTTGTATTACAATTCTCAAGGTGGGAAAACATAATGCAGCTTATAGTTCTGGATTTAGTATTCAAGATATGCCAGTAAGTTCAGCGATCATGAGCCCAGTGGATATGGATCAGATAATACATGAGGGGACAATAAAAATGAGGGGATGGGCATACAGTGGGGGAGGACATTGGCCGGTGAGAGTCGAGGTTAGTGGGGATGGAGGGACTATTTGGTACGAGGTACCTTAGGAGAACTTGAGCGAAAAAGTATTACCATGCTTGGAGATTATGGGAGATTGATCTTCCAGGTCGATGCGGAAGGATGGTAGAGTTGGTGGGTCGGTTTTGGGCATAATTCAATGAATACACAACCTACATTTGTGAGATCTACTTGGTAAGTTTCCTCTCTTTCTCCCACTTTTCAAATTAGCTAATATCTGTCAGGAATTGGGATCTCCATGTCACTTCTTCCTGTCACCGAATCAAAGTCTTTAGTATCAACAAGACGAGACCAAAGACTGCAGCAAGACTGCAAATGTATGAGAAAATGGGAGTACCATTCCTGCCAATCACTCAGCCTGGACCTTTTGAATTGGAGGAAGATGACACGTATGATGCAGAGATGGAAGCTAGAGGTGGTCGGGATCCTTTAGAGTAACGGAGAATAAATCTCATGTGGAGTTCAGTTGGTCATTATTTTCAGTGGTGCTATGGAGTTGAGTTGAGCGTTGTCGTAAGCAATATGTGGTTACTTGATAGTTGTCTTTAATAGCTTAATCTGAAATTCTATTGATGTCTAGTATACCCCCAGGTACTTCTGGCCCATTCATTCCCGGTGAGTCGACGGTATAATTTCACATATTTTCATGAGCTTAGCTAAAGGCCTATCAGGTAGGCTCTAAAGCCTATTAATTGTAGGGCTACACTTCCAGCCCCACCACTGTCCATCAAACGACGTCATAGCACATACTGACTACCCCACACATTTATATCCTGCTTAAACTCAATCATCAAGTTGACTTTCGTCACTTATTTTACTTTCAAATAACACTAAAACAATACTATCTAAGGGCCGGTCCGCTTTTTAGAACTTACTATATAGTCCAACAAAACTAACGTACACTTGGAAAAAAAGATATGTTTCAAGCACTCAAATCCAGCATGACGGACAAAGTACAATCTCCTCCTAAAGATGCTGATGGGAATCCCAGCACTCAAGAAAAAGTCCTTTCCCAAATCAACGAAAAGATCAAGGCAGCTCAAAAAGCCACCGAAAAAGCATCTGCAAATCGCGAAGAAGCATCCTCGCTTCCTGATTCCGAAGATGCCCAAGAAGCAAAGGCAAAACTTCTAGAAGAAGCCCAGAAATTGGAGAAGAGAGCGAATTCGGAGTTGAAGATTGCTCAGAGGTTGCAGAGTGGAGTGTGGCAGGGAGGGGCTGGAGGTGCGGGGATAGGGGCGGGTGTGGGAATGGGGTTGGGGACGGTGGTGGGATCGGTGGTGGGAGGTGTGGTGAGTGTGCCGACTACGGGGTTGGGATTGTTGGCGGGTGTTGGGGCGGGGGCGGCTCATGGACCTTGGTTTAAGTTACCGAAGATTGGGGGAGAGGAAGGGGAAGCGGGGGAAGCAGATGAGAAAGCGGCGGAGGGAGATGTGAAGAAGGAAGAGGGAGAGATGAAGAAAGTGGAGGCGGAGATGGAAGAGGAGAAATAGTGGTCGTGAGATGTGGATGATTGCTTTCGATACGAATCTACGAATTTCACGGCCGATATGCGAATTTCGAATCCAGAAGCAATGTTTTATATTATACCAATTGTTTGAAGATGAGACGAGATTGAGTCTTTGTGGAAGAACGCTGGAGCAACACCATCAAACACGAAGGTGTTGATGTATGTATTTTATATGGGCACATTTGGAGTTGGAATCTTGAACACATTTTTTGTTATTTTGATCTTATATGATGGTTTGATACTTTTATCATGCTATTTTTGTACGTTCTTTGTTTGTATACTATCTCACCTTCATGGAACGAAAATCAGGACAATTTAAACATTGTGTTCTCGTGAAGACTAGACGACCACAAAAAATGCTTGAACCAAACGATTTGAACTGTAAATACTCTCATCGAGGCCATCTCAGACCACAGATTACAATATTCGTTTTTTTTTTCCATGAGTTTGGCTCATTGTCATCTCATTTCCAGATTAATGCAATTTATTCAATCCGCAAATCAAGATGCACGGTATATGAATTCATCCTTACCATGCCATTCTTCAATCTGCATAAGCTCATCATCTTATTTACTTCCTATACTACCCTTACAAAAACAAAACATTACCTCCAGCTCTACATACAAAGATCCAAATCCTCTCCACTCTCTTCTAAGCTTTACCTCACAACTCATCACACACCATCTCGTCCACGGCTTTCCTGTAAGACCGAGCGAGAATTTCAATCCCCCTATTTAGATTCAGTCATCGTAGATAATAATGATCATGATTCTCTCTCTTACTCACAGGAACGAACTCGTTCACTGAAGAAGTCAAACAGCGAGATATGGACCCTTTGCAGGTCAATTTTCATCTCTTCAATTTCTATCTAAATGCCCAAGCTAAGATCGAATACAAACTGACACTGTAAATTCCTCGTTTCACCACCATGATTTTTCCTAGACCCCAATTCCATATCCTCAAGCAGTGTGTGAAAATCTCGGAAGAACCTAACTACATTACCATCCCAGCATACAAAAAAAAAATCAACCCGAAAAAATCTCATCGCATCCCATCCCATCCTATGTTAACCAACCCCTTCCCAATTCCCTTGCTCTCTCCAAAAAGTCCCTTAACTCCTCCGAGAAGAAGCCCCCACCAACCCTACAAAACCAACAATCCCACCACCCCCAATCCCCCAATCAACCCACCAATCCCCACCTCCCTCGCGCTCCTCCCCGCCGCCCCCAAAAACTGCACCGGTCCACTCCCATCCCCCGTCTCATCCCCAATTTCACTCGGGGTCGCTCCAAACGCCGATTCCACTGCGTTATTCAAAGATGTCGATGATTCATCAATTGTAGCTGGATTAGTCGCGGCGGGAATAACAGAGGGGAGAACAGAAGCAGCGAGGATATCGGCAGTGCCGACTGGGGGGAGAGATTGAGGGGGAATGGATGCGGGGAGGGAAGAGAGGGGATAGAGGGGGAGAATACCTGCAGCGGGGGGAGGAGAGGGGGTTGTGAGAGCGGCGAGGGAGGCGGAAGTAGGGGAGATGGTTGCGAGGGGTGATTGGGGGAGAATGGCCGGTGTGAGGGCTATTCCGGGAAGAGCACGCGTTTGTGTGCAGGGACTGTGTGGGAGGGTAGAATCGTTAGTTTTGGTTTTGGTTGTGATTCGTGATTTGTGTTTTATGGGTCTGGCTCATTCGCTCGCTACGCGAAAAGGGGAGAGAAAGATGGAAAGGAAAGAAATGAAATAAAAGGAAAGAAGAGAAAGAAAAGATGAACAAACCAATCTGTAATAGTAAGTGTCGAGGCCTCAGTAATCGTATACATAATCCCATTCTGCTCAAACTTCGTCGCCTCAGGACAATAAGTCGTCAGCGCCGTGACAATTTCCGTCGTGTAAACTATCCCATCTTTTTTCTCATCATCGTCATCGTCATTCACATCAATATTGTAATTATCATTATCGTTATAGTTGATGTTGTAATTGTTGTTGATATTGGTGTTGGAATTGTAATTCTCGTTTTCGTTGGTGTTGTAATTCTGGTTTTGGTTTTGGTTGGCGTTGCCGTTGCCGTTGGGATTGAGATTTCCGTTGGACGTTCCACTGGAGGTTTCACTACCACTGCCGTTCTGAGAGTCGGTATCGAGACCAGTGATGAGTGTGGAAAAGGGGAGAAGAAGTACAACGAGCGTGACGAGGGTTGGTTGATGCATTTTGGTTTTGGTGTAAAGAGGTGTGTTAAAAAAATCAACTTTTTTGACTTGAAGTCTGGGAGTTTGATGACCAGAAGAGATCGAAGGACTGGAAGCTTAGAACAACCGGGTAGAATAGACTGCCTTAAATCAATATCGAAAGGAGAGCTGGTTGAACGAACAACAGGAAAATAGCTAAGGAAGTCTTGGGAAATCCTCTCTTCTTATGTGTTGACAGGTCAACTCACAGCTTCTCGGCTCTTCGCATGTAGTAAACCATAGAAGAATATCCCCGAGTATCCAATATCCTATCATGATTCTCTTCATTATACGCCTTGAAGCTTGTTTACAGATATTTATAGCCTTGGAATGTAAAAGCACAGTCTTAGATTCGTCTTGGATCGCGGCGTTTGAGGACAGGAATGTGTAGCATACGAGATACGCATTCCAGTCTACCTTGATCTCTTGGTATGTGGTTTCATGTTCGTCGATCTCGCGACGACAAGTATGTACGCCACTTTCTTAAAGTAATATTTTGCAGTTGGCTGGCTCGTTTCCTCGGGACCGAAGCAATGATCGTACGTAGCATATTGAAATGAGGTGACGAGTCATATGAAAGAGACGATATTGAGTTCACTTCTGATATTTTCAAAAATGTACATTAGACTCTTTTTGTATGAATATCTTTTTGCAGCTGAGCGCTTGAACGACCACTAAGTTGACTCCTTGACTTGTCATTTAGATACGCACAAGCTTACGAAGACACGGATAGATTGTGGTCAACATCAGCAAAAGATACATGCCGACGTCATCGTTATGAGTTTCCCAGAATAGACTTCTATGTGTTGTACATTCCCACACCACAATGATAGATTATTGTTCCCTCGTTACTTTGAATCTCAGGCCTAGATCTAAGAGATCTTACAACCTATGATGTACGCCCACATATTCGCGCTTCAGCTATCCCCGGATACTTGATATCGACAGCGGTAGATCAAGTAGGGTAACGAGACCAATTTCAACCCTCAACACTCAAGCTGTCAAGCTTTCAAACCCTCTTTGGTAACCGTCTGATAGAATATCAAATTTATTACACACCGCGTTCTATTTCAAATTCCAATAACAACTCAACTCCTTCCTTCATCCGGTCTAACTCCGTCTACTCACCATCATGAGACCCTTAAACAACAGCCCATGACTTTCTTCCATATATTATAATAGAGATGGATAGACAACCATCCATCATCACCCTACAGCATTAATTTGAATCTTGCTGCAAAAACAGAATCATGTGAAACTTGAGGTAAGTATCATCCAATCTATCTAAACCACATATCGACAGCAAACACTCGAGGAATCTATATTTAACAGTTCATCTCAATCCATATATATGAGACAGAAATCCACTATCAAACACCCTCCAAAAACCATCTCAACCCCTCATCAAGGAAGCTCCAACACCAAACTCAACTCAAATCCATCACACAAGCGCAAAAACCTCAAATTCAAATACACACACGTAAGAAAAACACTACATGTATGAACGAAAACCCCATCCCAACAGATCAACCAAGAGATCAAAAAGAAAATGAAATAAAACAAAAAACTCTCATCCATACCTATTACAAATCTCTTCTCATCCAATCACGTCCCTCATCACGAAACGAAGTCGTGATGACTTGGGATTTTCATGAATCATCTTGATATTTTCTCCTTTGTATTAGTGGACTTTTGTCACGAGTGATAATGTATTCACCGAGTGCTCATATCCTATGTCCTATGTCCTATGTCCTATGTCCTATGTCCTATGTCCTATGTCCTATGTCCTATGTCCTATGTCCTATGTCCTATGTCCTATGTCCTACCTCCTACCTCCTACCTCCTACCTCCTCCGTACTATCTCCGCGAACCTTTAACTACTAGGTAAGATTACGTATTAGTCCATTCGGCATGTCGTGCATATGCATATGCACAGAATACCTAGGTACACATAAGCTCATCATCATCATCTAGATTCTAATCTCCTCCCCTTGTGGTATCATTAATCCTCGAGGATCATGTTCTCATAATATAGAACATCACACAACATCACATCAGCATCTCCCTCCCCTTCACCCACTCACCTCCTCATCAATCCGCCCTTCCAATCCCACCTCCACCTCCCACCCGCCACTCAGCGGACTCCCAAAAAGGAAAAAAAAGCAAAAGAATAGAACGCTCCTGCAAGAAAACCTCAATCTGACTATCAAATACACAATACACACATGCGCATATGCGCATATGCATATACATATCTCGGCAAGCCACACCGAAGATGCGCGTTTGTTTAGGAATCAAATCTCATCCATCTCATCCATCTATTTACCTAGTATTCATCTCACATCCATCCATCCCAGACTCACATAACCAGATCCCACAATCTTACCCCATCTTACCCCATCTTACCTACACCGCACCACACCACACTACACTCACTACACTACAACTCCCGAAACCGCTGCTTATGAATTGATTTGATTATGAAATCCGGCCACCCATCCGTGTACAATCTACACTTCCCACTTCCTAGTAGCCTCCAACCCCCAAATCTTCAATCCTTAAATCTCCAAATCTCCAAACCCTATCTCCAAATCCCAATATCGAAATGCAATATCGAAATGCAAAAATCAAAAATCAGAGATCAGAGATCCAAAATCCAAAATCAAAGAACAGACCACCCCTCCAAACAAATTTCCAATAATCAATCATAAGTAAATACATCAGTAGGTACCTAGGTAGATAAGCAAGCGCACGCCTTCAA